CTTAGTTATAATAAAGATAATGATTTATTTTAATCAGCTTTTAATATATAAAGTTCCTTAATAAAAATATAGACATTTGGTGAATTAAGAAATAAATTAACTCAGAGATATGGAGGGGTAAAAGCCATAATGGTGTAAGTCAAATTTTTTAAAATAACTCGTGTGCATAGATGCAATTTATATTGTATATATTGCATCTATGCACACGAGTCAATGTTTTAAAAAATTTGACTTCACCACTATGGCTTTTACCCCTCTATATAATATTTGTCCAATGTAGTGCCACAACATTACTATAATATTGCAGCAATATTACGCGGAGATAGATATATTGCTGCAATATTGCAATCTTGCCGTGCAATATTGCTGCAATATATTGTGGTGTTAGAGGTATATTATCATACTCAATATGATACATATTTTAAAATCCCGTAAACTACGCTCCGCATACATCTGCATAAATATTGACCAGTGATGTACTTCGAGTTCATTACGAGCAAAAACATCTCATATCATCAACCCGCCCGTAAGAAATACGAAACGTAAAAAAAAATAAAGTATTTGAGCCTCGAATAGTTTGCGCGATACAGTACTTTCCGTCATAATATTATAATAATTTGAGGCTTTCAATTTATTTCATTTTTCTTATCTACTACTTAATCTCGCAATCTCCTACTTAAAATTCCATAATTTCGAAGCTTATTTAACATTCATTGCTGAATAATGCATTTGTCTGATATCCAAAGAGAAAAAATGCATTCATTCAAGGCTGCATTCCGATATTCACTGTCAGTACTGCAAATCTATATTTTACGTCACGTATACTATAGATTTTCAGTACTGAAAGTTGCTGACAGTGAATATCGGAATGCAGCCTCAATATTAAAATAATAATAATAATAGCATATATATTTCTCTCTTTTTGAGAGAAATTTGTGATCGAAACTTTCCTGACATTTATGATTATTCTAATTATTTCATTTAATTGGAGATTGAGACTTTCTGATCATTTTCTTATGTCAATTAAAATTTCCTTCTTTCTTTCTCAAGGCTCGCTTGACGCGCGTAGTTGGCGATGTAACGTTTTTAGCATGGATTATACAAGGTGTCTATATATATTCGCAAAATAAAATTTACATTAATCTGGATGGATGTTTTGTTCGCGTCTCGTCCGTATTCTTCTCTTCGGTATCGCTGTTTCTCGCCATGCTCGCCATGCCCTCTCTGTATTTTCCGTCAAGATAAATCTCTTTATCCACCTCATCATGCAATTCTCGGATAAATGGCCGAAATGTTTGCAAACTCCAGAATAGCAAAAACAAATAAATAATGCGCGCAATTGCGAAAGCCTGCAGGATAAAAATTGAATAGCTCCCACGCTATAACGCTTCGCCTCGTTTAAACAATGCGAAGGATGTTATCGATAATATAATTGTAAAATGCACAGATAATCCTGCAAATCAAGTTCAGCGTTACCACGTCTGCATATCGTCATAAAACACCATAACTCATCATTTTCATCGTTGCGTGTACGCATTTGCATGTACGCAACGAAAGCACTCAAATGCAAAAGAAGAGAGAGATATAAAATCCTTTGAAAATATAGAAGATAATCATAATAAGAAAGATGATAAGATAAATGTAAGAAATAAATAAGTTGTCTCGTTTCGACAACAGCTATGAGATATTCGCGAGGCTGGATAACGAGCGAAATGCAAGATCTTTTCTCTCAAATAGCGTTGCAACGACCACTCGAAGAAGATAATTTCTAAAAATATGATTTTCAAAAATGAGCGTCGGGGATTATTAATTTCACGACGTCATTCGTGTCATTATAAATCTAAATTATGAAGAATATTTTTGAGTCACGACACATGCAACAGGCTGTTTTGCATAGCAGAATTTGGGTTTCCTATGAAGAATTAAACGTATAACTTATCGTGACGTTTCGACTATCTCGTCAGCGGTCAAGCAAGTTTCTTACCGATTATCCACACGGCTTTCCTTCCTCGATACACGCGAATCCCCTTACCTTTTTTTTTACATGCACGCTCGGGAAGAAAAAGAAGCACGTACAGGATCTTTCTAATTTTTTAATAATCTTGTATATTTATAATTAAAAACTCAATAATTTAATAATGTTTTAACGAGTGATATATTGTGACATTCTTACGGCAAATTAGAAAACAAAAAGATAGTAACAATCCTGGTGAAACAATTTTTCATATTTTCTCAGAAATTTTGTAAGAATTGAGATTTATAAAAAATTCTAAAAAATATATATATAAATTCTTAGATATTTTCCGAAATAATTGGATGAAGATTTTCGGAATATTTCAGTATCCGTTTGTATGAAAATTTTCGTTTGTATGATAAATTGCACAGATTTTCACATATTTATTCAGATTTTTACAAAAATATATTTGGTAGGAAAAATCTGAAATATTTTATTATTATTGTGTGAATGTTTTGTTCCGAGTTTTTCTGAAAAACGTTCCAATTCGTATAAAAAATCTGAAAAATTTTGAACATTCTGAGAAAGTCTGAAAATTTTTATAGAAATTCTAATTAATTAATAATAGGTATGAAAAATTCTGAGACATCTTTCCACCAGGGAAAGTCGAGCGGTTCTCTATTTTTTAAATAATTGATTCCATTACTCTGTCATCGTGTAACATGTTTTACTCATAAGGTCTACTCTTTTCAGCTGAACTTCTTGGACGGTTCGTCTTTTCTCTTTGTCTCTCCAACACGAAAAGAAAAAGAGGAAAGATAAACCGTGCTTTAGTTCAGCTGAAAAGAACAGGCCTATTGCCTATTGTCACTCACTTCCCCTGACTTCCCCAAATCTTCGTTTTCTACTACATGGAAATGAGTGCGGAAAAAACTAGTTGATTCGAAAAGGCGTCAAAAAAAATTTTTAGTCAAAACTTTCACAATTCTAAGACCATCAATATTTTTGCTAAACGAAACAATACGATTCTTCTCGCAAAAATTAATTCTTCTTCGACTATTGTTATAAAGCGTCAAGACAAGGTCAAAACATCAATCGCTTTGAAACAGGATGTTTCATATCTTATTCTAACATATATAGTTTGATATAAAATATGATGCATCTACTTTGCATTCACTTTGCGACACGATCTCACTTCGATATTGTTATCAAAATAATAATAATATCGCTCTAATATCGGCATGAAAAGGATTATAAAATTATATTTATACGATATATTGATATCGTTGTATCTTGTATCGATCACGTGATCAACGTGCGACATTTCAGAATCTGCTTATCAAGCTCATTCACGTATCGAGCAAAAAGCAGTCGTCATCAATTACAATGTTAAAGGAATTTTGAGGCCTTTAACCTTTTCGCAGATTGGCTTCATTATTTTTTCCCCATGCGATCGCGTCTTTGAATATTATATTAGAACTTAAATTCATTCAGATTTTTATAAAAATATATCGGTTATAGGAAAAATCTGAAATATTTTATTGTTATTTTGTGAGTGTTTTGTTCCGAGTTTTTCTGAAAAACGTTTTAATTCGTATAAAAAATCTGAAAAATATAAATATATAAATATATAAAAATATAAATATATAAAAATTTTTGAACCTGCGCGAATTACGACACGCTCTAAAATTGAAACGACATGAAAACATATTACATAATCGTCTCTCCGTCCAATGTTTCATATATCACATATCGTCGCGCGTAAAGACGGTAGCTTCTAGCTTCTCATTCGGTCTTTTAACTCTTGAAGGAAGGATCGTACGACCACATCGAAGATTACGCGATAACATCCTATTTACGTATACCGTATTAGTAACTCGTAATGTTACAACTCGTGAGCGAAGAAAGTGTAGTGTTTGTGTATGTGTGTGTGTGTGCGCGTAGAAAAAAAAAATAGGAAAAAAATACCAGTTTTGCATTATCGGGTCTTTAAAAGTATCTTGTCAGCCGCGATAACCGCGTAAGGTCGAATTCGTGTCGTTTGCAATGCGTATTTAATACATGGTAGAGAACCCAATCGGTCCGACGTGCGTGGATGTTCACGATTTATCTAAAACCCAAATATTTTAAGACCGTGCATTCTGAAAAACCACGTTTTTTTTTTTGCAGAATGCGGCGGTCGTATTTAATGCGGGGAGGCGACTCTTTGAATATTCAAACGTTGAACGTTCATTGTCGCGCGGTGACAGAGGTGAAAAAGGTTACGAAGATACATATCGCGTCGTTCCCTTTCCTTCCCTAGCTTTCTCGTAGGTGCGCAAGTTGACGAATTTTCCGCCGTCTCATCCTTATTCACACTCTCGAGACTCGCGCGGACGGCGAACGACGCGGGTAGCGGGTAGCCGCCCCGACGCCGGGCGACTCGTTCGAGATAACCGATAACAGGCTCCCTTTCATCCGCAGGGGCATCTGAATCGGGATCTGCTTTTGCTCGTTACTGACAACGGGAGAAGAAGAAAAAAGAAACAAAAATCACCTGAGCCGCCTACGGCGTTCGACCAGTCCTTCCGCGGCATTTGTCTGCAAATTGCCGCTATCGCTGCTCTCGTTCGGGAAGCTATCCTCGATCTCCAGCACCTCGCTAGGATCGGGATCGCGATTAGGATCGGGCTCATGCTCGGGCTCCCCGACGACAAAGCTCACCGGTGTCTCCGACATCACTTTCGCGCGAGCGGACTTGGTACAGGAATTGACACAGTGGACAGTCTCCTCCCTGGATCCTGCCGCCGTACCGGAAGACTCCGACGCGCGCTCGACGTTACCTTCAACAACACATTCGCGCGTGTGTATACATGTTCCTTTCGGAAGCGGGAACGATCGTTTCGAGGAGAATGATGCGATTTGAATCACGGCGATCTCCCTCGGAAGGTCCGGGCGTTAAGGACGCCTCGAAAAGCTTATTGCTACTCACCAGGAGAATCACGCAGAAACGTAGAGCCCCTCGGCAGGTAGGCGACGCGAGGAAATCGCTCCCTTCGCGCGCTCCAAAAAGAGGAGGAAGAGGAAAGAAGAGAAGAAAGAGCACCCACCGTGGATACCGTGATCGTTTCGAGGGATGAGAGACGCACAGGTGCGTAAACACGGTGCGTGCGTATACGATAGAAATTATGGGGAAAGTACCGTACAGGGTGTCCAGAAGACGGCGTAGCATACCACGTTTACGTTCTCCACCTTGGCATCTCCTCCTCCCCTATGTCGAGTGGCATGTATATAACGAGATCGAGGAGAACCGGCGCCACGTGGAGGAATCGCGGGCTGACAGGGTACTGAGGAATACGACCACGACGACGTCGACGACGACGACGACGACGACGACAATTCCCACCGGATTGCGCGCGCTGCACTGAACTGACTCGCCGAGAGATCCAGGCGGAACAAGTTGTCCGCGGCGCGGGGCGACATACGTGTCTCGCATGGGCCGAGCACGACCGAAGCTCGCTCGCGGGTTCAAGGGTCGTCGCTAAACGCCGCGGTCATGCGGCAATCACGTCGATCATCCGGGATCGCGCCTCCGCAGTTATTCCTCGTGGAGCTTTCGCGCGTCAATGCCATCAGAACTTTAGCTTGCATGTATCTTCAACCCTTTTCGATCCTCGAGATCTCCGAGCTTTCTTTCCCTTTCTCTTCGACCGCCTCTCAAGTCCCCAGTCACTCATCTAATCGCTCTAATCTCTCGTCGAATCATATTTTGTTTTTCTTTTGTGCATTAGCAAGGCGAATTTGCGACAGCCGGAAAGTACGGCGCTCGCTCATTTACACGCGTGCGAGGTTGAGACGCGCGCGCTTTTGTTTACATCGCCGCCAAGGACCGCAAACACGCGCGTCATCAGCGAGGAGTATTTGCATACGGAGCGCAGACAACCATCAACGACTCCTCGAGCGGCCGATCTCGCGAATGAATGACCTGCGGAAGTGAAATGAAAGTCGACGTGTACAAAGTTTTTACGAGCGCGTAAAAACTTCTAATATCGATTACGCAACCAGACAATAAGAACCACAGACTCTTCGGGATTTCCGAGGGTCGCCTCGGCGTGAAAAGAACCGCGAAAGATCACGCTTATCGTTCAACAACGGGATTAACCAGGACGTTTGATTTCCCATGAGCGACCAACACTTTTTGCGTTACGCGGAGCGAGATCAAGCACGGCGGCGTTCGACTCGACATTCATATCGGTCCTTTCTTTCTCGCCTTCCTTTTTTTTTCTTATCGAGAGAACCTACGGCGTATCTTTCAAATTCGCATTTCGAATCACGGACTATCGCGGACGATCCGTGGCTCTCGCGTGGTTAATTCTGTAGATTTTCACGTGAGATTGTCAAAAAATTAGAAGGAGGCGGCGATTGGCCGAGCCGAGTGTCAGGCGACGCACGAGCGGCGCCGATTGGCTCACGCGCGCGGCGTGACACGGCACGGCACGGCACGGCGCGGAGCGGAGCGGAGCGTGTCCGCGGTCGCGGTCCCACCGTGGCTATATCGCTCGAGCGTGGTCAACGCGCGAGAGCCGCGACCCGCGACATTTTCGAGAGGGGTCGCGTGTCGATCGCCCCCCCGATTTGACCCAGGGCATGCCGAAGCGCCCGGCACGCGCAAAAACAAACAGAAAGACGACGTCGACTCACCGGTGACGGATCTTGCGCGCCGGGCCGACGACCCGCTGCTTCTCCTGGAGGTTAGGTTCGTCCACTGGTTCCCGTTCTGTCATTCGAGCCGAGTCGGCGGTTCCGCGCGGGGGTCAAGACTCCGGGTGGACGGGCGTCCACCGTGCTCCGCTTCGACGTCTCACCTGACGCAGCGAGCGTCGTAATCGGTTCGGGACGAGCCGAGTCACCGTCACCGCGTGACCATGTATATCTCTCTGTAGGAAATTTTTTTGCCCTTCCGCACGGACGAACCGCTACTGGATCGGGCGTAGCGAAATGTAAAAAAAGGGAAAGACAAAAAAGTACATCGACGTGCCACTGTCATCGCCCGCGCTCGTCCTTACCCATTCTTACCGGTCGAGACGCCCGCGTGACTCGGCCAGCAGGTGCCAGAGAAATGCTGGCCACACACGCACACACACTTTCAGGAAGACGTAACAGTAAGTTTTTGACCAATCGCGTTGCTCGATTCGGCAGTATGTAACCGAATTGAGTAACGCGATTGGTTGAAACCTTATGGCCTCGACAGCCAGCGCGATAAGGGCTGTGTTCCGTTATTCACTCTGCCAGTACCGCTAGTACTGAAAATCTATAGTGTATGTGACGTAAACCATAGATTTTTAGTACTGGCAGTGAATAATATCGGAACGGAGCCTACATCGTCCGTGACGTGCGATATCCAATGAGCGTTCTGCGATGAGTGGAAAAGCTGTATTGTGACAAGAATGCTTTTCAGTTAACGACACAAGTGTCAGGCTGAGTTTCCACTGTGCGCGTCACGCGTCGCGTCATCTGTCATTAACCAATCTAAACATCCCATCACAAATGATGTAATAAAATAGGATGTTTTGATTGGTCGCGACGGATGACGCGCTCAGTGGAAACTCAGCCTCACTTTACCTTTGTTGTTCACTATGTTGAAAAAGGACAGAAAGACGCTTGTGTCGATTTGAGTCGCTAAATGAAAAGCACCCAACGCGAGTTGTGAATCGTAAGAGATTGACCAATCACAGTCGATCATTTTCCTCAAATTTAACTGTAAAAACAGGGCACACACACTTTTCGTAGAACGTAACAGTAAACTTCGACCACGCGCGTTGCTCAATTATTGTTACGAAAAAGTGTGTCCGGGCCCTAACTGGTCAATTTCTTACGACTTAAGGCCTTTACACATAAAATGCCGTAAGGACGTAAAATCGAGTATTTTCCCCTACTTGGATTACGGACAGCACAATACTTGATTGGGATTGGTCGATTTTCTTACGCTTACGTTTTACGTCCTTACGCAATTCTGGCTACGGTCAACGTGACGCTACAAATGCTTCGAAGCACACACACATTCCTCTTCTCTTTTCCACTCTTTTCTTTCAATGAAGAAAGAAAGAGAAGGACGCTCCAAAGCATTTGTAGCGTCACGTTGACCGTAGCCTTAATGTGTGAAGGCCTTTATGATTTACGACTCGGCCGACTCGCATTGTGGACCCTAAACCCCAAAGAGCAGAATTTTCATATACGTTTATCTTACGAATGAATAAGCAAGAATTGATGATCGAAACAGGCTCGGGTTCTGTTTGACAGAATGCGAGTATGAGTCAAGGAGTCAAGAACGTCAAGGACGACGACCACGGCAATCCGGGCAAGAATTTGAGGTTCTGTCGCGTGCTGAGCGTCGCGCTGAGTGGAATCATCAGGCACAGCGCAAACATCAACTTTCGAGATCGTTGTTTAGCGCTTTCGCGATCGAGCAACTCGTCCAGCGCGCAAGCTGCGTTCGCAGCCGATTTGTTATCGATTGTATCTCGCGACGACGCTCGGAAAAAAACAGACGGAGGACGAGACTGCGAGGGACACGAAATCTTCGATTAAGTTAATCGGAATTTAGTCGAGATAACTGTGTTAAATAAAACCGGTAATCCAATGAATAATTTTGTTTATATTTTGCAAAACCAAAATGAGAGAATCCGTCTCGTTGGTGGGTAGTGGGTATTGGTGACACTTGTGACGGGCGACGACGGACGCGTCGAGTTGCGTCGCGTCAGGCTAGGTGACGCGAAGTTAGGTTAGGTCGGGGAGTAGTGGCGGATAGGCGGGCGGGTGGGCATCGGCGTTGAGAGAAGCGTCTTTGATCCGTTTGTGATCGTCGCGAGGCTGGGTTAACTTCGCACGGCCGCCCCGCCGAAAGACATACTCGCGTCGCGTCTCGCGATCGGCGGCGTGAGTGAAACGGTGATGCAGAGGAGTGAGAACGCGACCGTGATCGCACCGAGATCGCCACCTCCGTCGCCGTCTCGTCGGGCTCCACCCGCGCGAGGAGCACCAGCCTCGACGTAAAACGGAGGCAAATGGAGGCAGCGGACACGGTGCGGGTGCGCGGACTTTCCTCTCCGGCAGGCGGCGAAATATCCGGCTGACCACCAGGGGTTCTCAATAATCGGGAGCGACGGCGGGTACGTTTCTCTCCCCCCTCGAGTCCGCGCCGGCTTGTTAAGAGAGGATGCGAGAATCAGCGAGAATGAGAGCGGCCCTGTTCGTAGCGTCGCATCGCGCCGACCCGTCCCTCTTTCCCCTCCCGAGTTTATCCTCGCCCGAGCGTGCGCGACGAAGCGTTGAAACGAGAAAGAGAGAGAGAGAGAGAAAGAGAGAGAAAAAATGAGGCAAGAAAGAAAGAAAGAGACCGCTCGTGACATAATAGCGCCGTTATATCCCAGATCCCAGCGCGAAGATTCGAGCCGCACAGTGGCGAGCATTGGCGAGCAAGGAGCGAGCGCGGGAGAGAGGGGTTAGGGGGGTGAGCTGCGGAGACCCACAGCTGTTCGCAGTCTTCGCGACTTCGCGATTTCGCCGGTGCGGAAAGCGGAAAGGTCCGATATCAATCCTTCCTTCTCTTTTTCTCTCTCTTTCTCTCTCCCCGATCCCCCCCGTGCTCCGCGATCCCTCCTCACGTCGCGCGGTTGCGGTACGCTCGCGATGTAAATATACACGTCGGCCGTCGGTCCCCCTCGCTCGCTCGCTCGCGAGTCGCGTGCGCGAATGCCGTGAATCCGTCGCTTCGTTACTCCGTAATCCGTCGTATCATTTTCCGCGTATCGGAACGCGTCGCGAGTCGCGAGAGCCAGAGCTGTCGGCGCACGTGAATCCGCGCGCGGGGGACACTCCTCGGCGCGGGCATCCCGATGTCGGGCAGCCCGAAACGGAGTCACCGCCGCTGCCGCCACCGCCTTCGGGTTATTGGCACTTCCGCGCGCCTTAGATAATAGACTCGCCTTGTTAAGCGCGCCGACAGCCCCCGCGCGCGTGTCCGTGTCGGTGTCGGCCTGCGCTCGATCGCGCTCCGGGCTCCGGGCGCGGTGCCGATCGAGCCGAAACGCCCTGAAGCGTCCAACGCGACTCGACGACTTCCGCCGTGCCTCCTGGTAACCGATGACGGAGAAACGATGTAATCGAGAATCTATAACGTTCCGTCGACCTGTCATCCGAAATGTTCCTAATGTTTATCTCTCGCTCTCGTTATCGCCATTATCGCGGTAACAACGTTTACGGGACGTGTCGAGATGGAGCTGTAGTTAAGAGATTTTTTTTTCCTTTTACTTACTGCGGACTGCGGCTTTGCTTTTAGTTTCGTTCGCGTTGGTCGTCGGATAAGTCGCGCGATATGCGGCGCATATGGTGAGCCGTGGAGAAAAAAAAAAAAACCCGCCGCAGACGGATCTCGATTCCAAAAAAAGGTCGTTTCTCTTTCGCGAGACGATCGCAGACGTTCCGAGACGTATCGCGGAGACGCGAAGGAAATTCGGTCGGTCGATAATTGCGCCGTGCCCCGTGAAGATACTCGAATTTCTATCGATTTTAATACGAGATGCCTTTAACAAAGGGCATTTATTAGTCCTAAATGAACGGATCTGAGATAACGAGACGTTAAAAGTGATCGTTCTCCGAATGACGCGAATAAAACGCCCTTTACGCGGACGTCCGGGATTTAGTGCGTCCTTTTGAACACGATAATCCAAGTTCCACCGTCGTGTCTGCAGAGAAACTGCGGGAAAGAAGCGATGGCTCGATCGAGAGGAACGTGAAGAAGGCCACCTTGGCGCGTGGCAAATCGGGTCAAAGGCCTGGCTCCTCGTTCTCCTCGTCCTCGTCCACGGAGAGGCTGCGAAAGATGCCCGGGCCGTCGACGCAAGAGAGGCCCCGTGCTCACCGGCTCACCGACATCGAGTCTCAGACGAAGGTTAATAAACTAAAAATTATGTCGCGCTTTAGTGGATTTAAAAAAGCTCGCACGAGAATGTCGAATTTATTACACACAAGTTCGATTATAAAGTTCCAGAGGGAATTTAATTCCCTTGTGTGAATGAAATTGCAGGGCTTGAGCGGTAACCGGACGGACGACTTCGGCACGCCCGTTAGTTCTGGCAGCAACATGAGTAGCATCGCACGCTTTCCGAAGCTCGACGAGTGTGCCCACTTTCATTACGAGCACGTCGAGCTTGGTACTCTGGAGGTACGCCAAAACGCGAAACACACGGAAGGTTCGGTTAAGAAAACACCGGCTCGGCTTTCAGGTATCCGTCAACGAGGGTTCCAACGACTCGGAGAGCTACGCCGTTCGAATAACATCCGGCGACGCGTGCTGGACGCTACAGAGGTCCTACGACAACTTCGTCATGTTCGATAAGCAGCTGCATCGCTGCATATTCGACAGAAAGTTTTCCTCCTTAACGAAGCTTCCAGATGTTCGGCCAAAAAACGCCTGTGATATACTAAAGGAATACTTGAGCCGGTTCTCGCTGCTGAATCACGAAGGCCTAAACTGTGGCCCGGTATTAAATTGGCTACAGCTCGATAACAGGGGAAGAAGGATTCTGGTGCCGGAATCGGATTCCTGTCCTATCAATACTCCAGCCGTCGCCGCGGCATACGCCGTGAGACCCTACACCGCTCAAGCCCAAGACGAGATCTCTTTCCAGGTAATCAATTAGCTAACTTGCAAGTTTTTGTACTATGAGAACTTTGCGCTCTGACTAATCCAAGTGATTTAATATGATAAACAGGTAGGCGACATGATATCCGTTATAGACATGCCCCCTCCGGGGGAAAGTACGTGGTGGCGTGGAAAGCATGGATTCGCGGTTGGATTTTTCCCGGCCGAATGCGTCGCCGTAATCGGGGACAAAGTGCCGCGTCACTTGACGGTTTCGACGACGGTCAGATCGAGATTACCAGTAAAGCCCGTGCTCCGGAAACATGGCAAATTGATCGCCTTTTTTAGATCCTTCATACTAAATCGGCCCTCTAGGAGGAGATTGAAGCAATCGGGTATACTGCGAGAGCGCGTATTTGGTTGCGATTTGGGAGAACATCTATTAAACTCTGGTCAAGACGGTACATTTTTTTCTAGCATACTTTTTATAATTTAGATATATCGAGTATAAACTATATAAAAGAGGAAGGAAGACGAAAAAGATTATTCGTTTTGTAGTGCCTACCGTTTTGACGTGCTGCGCGGAATTCATAGAGAAACATGGTCTAGTCGACGGTATATATCGTCTTAGTGGCGTAACGTCCAACATTCAAAAATTGCGGAACGCCTTCGACGAAGATAGGGTACCAGCGTTGCATTCCGATGAGAGCATTCTGCAAGATATCCACTCCGTAGCATCGTTATTGAAGATGTACTTTAGAGAGCTGCCGAATCCATTGTGCACGTATCAACTTTACTCCACTTTCGTCAATGCGGTTCAAGCCAGTAGCGACGCTGAGAGATTGAGACGTATGAGAGACGCGGTTAGAAAGTTACCGCCACCACATTACAGGTAGTTTTATCCATATTTCCATTTTCGTTACCTGTCGCGGCAACGAGTCGACGATTTATTCTAATCTTTATCAAATAATGTACGCAGGACACTGGAATATTTGATGCGTCATCTGGTGAGGGTAGCCGCGCGTGGCACGGAAACAGGTATGACTCCGCGCAATGTGGCCATCGTCTGGGCGCCAAATCTCTTGAGGTGCAAGGAGTTGGAAGTGGGTGGTGTAGCGGCCCTTCAGGGTGTCGGAGTTCAGGCGGTCGTGACGGAATTTCTAGTCTGCTACGCGGAACTCATATTCGGGGATGGTCCTGTTGGCAGACCAAAGTCTTTGGCGATCACCACGTCCGCGCGATTGCTTACTTTGGAGGAAGCGCGCAACAGAAGTCTCAGAGGCGAGCCTGATTACATAGAGGTTGGGGCGGGTCCGGCTGGCCTTCCTTTGCGCTATCACACTGTCATAGAGCTGCCACGCAAACGAAATGGCTCGAAACGATCGCCCTCGCTAAATTGGAGGGCGCTATTCGGTAGAGGCGCTGTCGGAAAAACGAGGCAAATTGGCACGCCACCTCAAGCGGAAACAGTGCCAAGTTCCTTGAACTCTTTGCGACGCCTGAGACCCGTCAAAAGCGCCGACAGTTTAGACGGCGAAGATGGATTGGGTCCGCTTTTAGGAGGACCACCTCCCATCAGAACCTGCGGTCACAGTCGATCCGTCTCGCACGATTCGTACTTTGATCACTTGGCTGATGCGCCTAACGCATCTTCGCCGTTGGATCTCTCAGAGATACAACTTAACTTCGATCTCGAAGAACGAGAGATGAGGATGCTTTCGGAGGAGGAAGGTGGCGGAGTGGCGTCGGTAGAAGCGTCACCGCGTCGGCAAAGAACCGAAGGAAATCAATGTGCCGCCGCGACCGGCGGGTCTAAGAGGAAACGATCTCGCTTAGAAGAAAGATTGCATTGCGACGTCGAGTTGCGTTTCATAGACAGCCAAAGTCCTGATCAGGTGATTAACGTAAATTAGTCTCAGTCATTTTCTATATGCACGTCATGTCTAATCTATGTCGAATCTTTCAGGTCATGGTGTCGACAAGTGCGGATATTCACAGTATCGAAACACCGTCTCCGTTACAAAC